GTGGGAAACAGTATAGCAGCACCCTAACACGCTGTACGAATTCAGTATAAGCCAACTGGCCGGGTTGGCGGACCTTCCAGCCTTCTCTCTTTGCCGGCCTTCCGTGCGTTCCACTAAGCGTGTACTATGTTACTATGGAGATAATGGGACTACAGCGGCTTGGAACCGAGTAAAGCTCGGATTTTCCGATCATTTCACTGTATTTCGATGAGTGAAACGACATACTTCAGCCGAGCCTTTTCCGGCGAATGGCTTCTACCACCATTGCCAGAGCCGCGGTTGTACGTTCGGACAGGCGCTTTGCTGCCGCATGCCTCCGCTCCCAGATCTCATCTTGTTTTCGTCTTCTGAGCCTTGCCTTTTGCTTTCGTTCGACAGTCTGCAAGTTGTTGAGGCATAGTCGGATATCTTTCTTGACGTATTTATTCAGCCCCGTGAACGCATCGGCGGGGAAGCATCGCAGGCGCCGTGCGAAGTCAAGATCGCTCGCCAGTTTCTTGGCGATCCTTGGGTATTTGACCAGGCATCCTAGTAGCGACAGGCATGGTAACTTCAGGGCCCAATCTGATTTCGAGGTGTACTCCTGGATCAGCCCCCTCAGGTACGCGGACAACCGCTGCCACTTCTGTGCACTTGTGCAGGTACAGGTGAGACAAGCCAGCAGAGTTGGCTTATCCATGAGGAGAAATTGACTGGAGACTGGGGTTTCAGCTTGAACCTTGCAGCTGCGCAGAACAGATGCATGGCCTGCTTTCAACTTGTGCCCCAGTTCGGGCAGGCATTCCACAGACATTCCAATGAGCCTGCTTGTACTTCATGGACTCTTCCCGGTGGAGACCACATACCTGGGACCCTATATTGGTTGAGGATGCTCGCCCCGGCCTTGTCCCCGCCTCAGTCCTCTTCGAGTGGAGACCACGCACCTGGGACCCCATATTGGTCGAGGATTATAAGTACTCCGGCCTCGTCCCCGCTTGGTCTTCTTCGAGTGGAGTCCCCGCTTCCATCCTTTTTCGAGTTGAGACCACGCACCTTGAACCCCACATTAGTTGAGGATAAGCGTGTGAGTCGAGGATGAGCCCTCCAGCCTAGTCCCGGACTGGGACCCCATATTGGTTGAGGCTAAGCCCTCCGTCCTCGTCCCTGGCTTGCGTTCCTCAGGTCAAGACCTCACACCTCGGACCTCACATTGGTTGAGGATAAGCGCTCCGGCCTCGTCCCCGCCTCCGCTTTCCCTGAACCCCCATATTGGTTGAGGACAAGCACTCCGGCCTCGTCCGTGCCTTCGCCGTCTACTCAGCTTAAAACCGTGCACCTGAAACCCCATCTTGGTTGACGATAAGCGCTCCGGCCTCGTCCCCGCCTTCGCCTTCTCACGCACCCAAGACCCCATGTGGGTCGAGTATGAGCCCTCCAGCCTCGTCCCGGACTGGGACCCCATATTGGTTGAGGATAAACCCTCCGTCCTCGTCCCTGGCTTGCGTTCCTCAGGTTAAGACCGCACACCTCGGACCTCACATTGGTTGAGGATAAGCGCTCCGGCCTCGTCCCTGCCTCCACTTTCCCTGAAACCCCACATTGGTTGAGGACAAGCACTCCGGCCTTGTCCGTGCCTTCGCCGTCTACTCAGCTTAAAACCGTGCACCTGAAACCCCATCTTGGTTGAGGATAAGCGCTCCGGCCTCGTCCCCGCCTTCGCCGTCTTCTCAGCTTCAGACCACGCACCTGAAACCCCATCTTGGTTGAGGATAAGGGCTCCGGCCTCGTTCCCGCTTCCGCTTTCCCTGAAACCCCATATTGGTTGAGGACAAGCACTCCGGCCTCGTCCGTGCCTTCGCCGTCTACTCAGCTTAAAACCGTGCACCTGAGACCCCATCTTGGTTGAGGATAAGCGCTCCGGCCTCGTCCCTGCCTCCGCTTTCCCTGAAACCCCATATTGGTTGCGGACAAGCACTCCGGCCTCGTCCGTGCCTTCGCCGTCTTCTCAGCTTAAAACCGTGCACCTGAAACCCCATCTTGGTTGAGGATAAGCGCTCCGGCCTCGTCCCCGCCTTCGCCTTCCTCGGCTTGAGACCATGCACCCGAGACTTAAGCGCTCCGGCTTCGTCCCCGCCTGTGCCGTCTTCTCAGCTTCAGACCAAGCACCTGAAACCCCATCTTGGTTGAGGATAAGCGCTCTGGCTTCGTCCCCGCCTCCGCCTTCCCTGAAACCCCATATTGGTTGAGGACAAGTGCTCCGGCCTCGTCCCCGCCTCCGCCGTCTTCCTCGGCTTGAGACCATGCACCCGAGACTTAAGCGCTCCGGCTTCGTCCCCGCCTGTGCCGTCTTCTCAGCTTCAGACCAAGCACCTGAAACCCCATCTTGGTTGAGGATAAGCGCTCTGGCTTGTCCCCGCCTCCGCCGTCTTCTCCGCTTAAAACCGTGTACCTGACAACCCATCTTGGTTGAGGATAAGCGCTCCGGCCTCGTCCCTACCTCCGCCGTCTTCTCAGCTTCAGACCAAGCACCTGAAACCCCATCTAGGTTGAGGATAAGTGCTCCGGCTTCGTCCCCGCCTCCGCCGTCTTCTCAGTTTCAGACCAAGCACCTAAAACCCCATCTTGGTTGAGGATAAGCGCTCCGGCTTCGTCTCGGCCTCCGGCGTCTTCTCAGCTTCAGATCAAGCACCTGAAACCCCATCTTGGTTGAGGATAAGCTCTTCGGCTTCGTCCCCGCCTCCGCCTTCTTCGGGTGGAGACCACGCACCTGGGAGCCCATATTGGTTGAGGACAAGGCTTCCCGGCTTCGTCCCTGCCTCCGCCTTCTTCGGGTTGAGACCACACACCTGAGAGCCCATGTTGGTTGAGGATAAGCGCTCCGGCCTCGTGGAGCCCATATTGGTTGAGGATAAGCGCTCCGGCCTCGTCCCCGCCTCGGCCGTTTTCTCAGCTTAAAACCATGCACCTGAACCCCCATCTTGGTTGAGGATAAGTGCTCCGGCCTCGTCCCGGCCTCCGCCGTCTTCTCGGCTTGAGACTACACACCTGGCACCCCATCTTGGTTGAGGATAAGTGCTCCGGCCTCGTCCCCGCCTCCGCCGTCTCCTGCTTGAGAACCTGAAGCTCCATCTTGGTTGAGGATAAGTGCTCCGGCCTCGTCCTCGCCTCCGCCGTCTTCTGCTTGAGATCCCACGCCTCGGAACCCCTTATTGGTTGGGGTTACGCCCTCCCGGCCGTGTCCTTGCATCCATCTCGTTCAGCTTGAGCTCTCACGCCTTGCAACCTTATATTGGTTGAGGATAAGCCCTCCCGGCCTTGTCCTCGCCTCCGTCTTCTTCAGCCTGAGCTTCCAGATCTCGGAACCCCATATTGGTCGAGGATAAGCCCTCCCGGCCGTGTCCTTGCTTCTGTCTTCTTCAGGCAAGCCTCGCAATCCCATCGTGCTTGCAGATAATGTCACCGGACACTGACGTAAGACGATCTATGTATTCTCGCAACTCACCTTTCTTCCCGTGTTATTGCTGTGTCACGTGTGAAACAATGTCCTTCAGCTAGGTGTCCTACGGCGAATGTGTTCTCTGATCATTATCAGAGCTTCGGCCGCGCGCTCGACCACAATCTTTGTTGCTTCGAATTTCCGTCTCAGGAGTTCCTCCTGCTTCTGCTTCCGGAGCTCTGTCCTCTCCTTCTGCTTCTTCTTCTTCTCGAAAGCCCGAAGGTTCGCGATGCAGAGACGGATGGTCTTCTTGGTGTTTCTCGGAAGCCCTTGTAGATCCTGGACTGAAAAGCATTGGAGTCGCCGGCCAAAGTCGAAGTCGTCTGTGGCTCTCGAAGCCAGCATCGGGTACCTGGAGAGTGCACCGATCAGCGCTAGGTGTCCTAGCCTCAGTGCCCAATCCGAGCGTCTCGTGAACTGCGAAATGGCCAGCTTCAGGTTGTGGGGTAGACGTGTCCATTTCTTTGCTGCCGTCCGGCACGTGCAGTTTAAGGCGCTGAAAAGTACCGGTGTATCCATCGCGTCGAGCTGTCGTGAACTACTGGTTTCTATCGCACGCCTGAGCCCCAGTTGCAGCTGTACCACAGGCTCGCTTGCCTCCCTTTCAAAGCCACCGGTCCATGATCCGACTAGTCTGGAACATGCGTGCATCGCTGACTGTGCGATCTCTTCATCACGACGACTTGTGAAGTGTACGCCTATCCCGGCCTTGTCTTTGTGAATTTGAGGCCTCGCGCTTGGGAACATGCACCTGGGACCGCATATTCTTTGAGGATACGCCCTCCAGTCTCGTCCCGGCCTCGTTCTTCTTGAGGTTGAAGTCTCGTGCTTGGGAGCATGCACCTGGGACACCATATTGGTTGAGGACAAGCGCTCCGGCCTCGTCCCCGCCTCCGCCGTCTTCTCAGCTTAAAACCATGCACCCGACACCCCATCTTGGTTGAGGATAAGCGCTCCGGCCTCGTCCCTACCTCCGCCGTCTTCTCAGCTTCAGACCAAGCACCTGAAACCCCATCTTGGTTGAGGATAAGCGCTCCGGCCTCGTCCCCGCCTCCGCCGTCTTCTCAGCTTAAAACCACGCACCTGAGACCCCATATTGGTTGAGGACAAGTGCTCCGGCCTCGTCCCCGCCTTCGCCGTCTTCTCAGCTTCAGACCATGCACCTGACACCCCATCTTGGTTGAGGATAAGCGCTCCGGCCTCGTCCCCGCCTCCGCCGTCTTCGGCTTGAGACCACGCACCTGAGACACCATCTTGGTTGAGGATAAGCGCTCCGGCCTCGTCCCCGCCTCCGCCGTCTTCTCAGCTTCAGACCAAGAACCTGAGACCCCATCTTGGTTGAGGATAAGCGCTCCGGCCTCGTCCCCGCCTCCGCCGTCTTCTCAGCTTCAGACCAAGAACCTGAGACCCCATATTGGTTGAGGATAAGTGCTCCGGCCTCGTCCCCGCCTCCGCCGTCTTCTCAGCTTCAGACCAAGCACTTGAAACCCCATCTTGGTTGAGGATAAGCGCTCCGGCCTCGTCCCTACCTCCGCCGTCTTCTCAGCTTCAGACCACGCACCTGACACCCCATCTTGGTTGAGGATAAGCGCTCCGGCCTCGTCCCCGCCTTCGCCTTCTTCGGCTTGAGACCACGCACCTGAGACCCCATCTTGGTTGATGATAAGCGCTCCGGCCTCGTCCCCGCCTCCGCCGTCTTCGGCTTGAGACCACGCACCTGAGACACCATCTTGGTTGAGGATAAGCGCTCCGGCCTCGTCCCCGCCTTCGCCTTCTTCGGCTTGAGACCACGCACCTGAGACCCCATCTTGGTTGATGATAAGCGCTCCGGCCTCGTCCCCGCCTCCGCCGTCTTCGGCTTGAGACCACGCACCTGAGACACCATCTTGGTTGATGATAAGCGCTCCGGCCTCGTCCCCGCCTCCGCCGTCTTCTCAGCTTCAAACCATGCACCTGACACCCCAACTTGGTTGATGATAAGCGCTCCGGCCTCCGCCGTCTTCTCAGCTTCAGACCAAGCACCTGAAACCCCATCTTGGTTGAGGATAAGCGCTCCGGCCTCGTCCCCGCCTTCGCCTTCTTCGGCTTCTGGGCTGCTGATCTCGAATCCCACAGTGGTTGAGGATAAACGTTCCAGTCTCGTTCCGGCGGCCTTCTTCGGGCTGGGACCGCGGACCCCGAGCCCCATAGCGCTCTGGCCTTGCTCCCGGAGTACCTGCGACGCCGTATTGGTTGAGGATAGGCGAATCTCTCGGCATGCGAGCCTTCGGGACTCGTCCGTGTCTCCGCCTCCAACGTTGTTCCCGCTGAGACTGAGCACCTGTATGCCCGACTGCGACATGATGGAGGAGCGCGGCCGCATGTGACGCACCAGGCCCTCCTTGCACCTTTTTGCCTCGCCTAGGTGAGTGAAGCTCGAGCCGTTCAGCGCATTGCGCAGTCTAAAACTACTCTGGTGACACTAAAACGTTCTCTCTCGCCGCGAGCCGCCGTCCACTCCACCAGATCGTTCTTGAAGAAGAAGATTGTATGAGCACGTCCCAGCCGTCGTCGAGGAGCTGGAATGCCGTCTTGGCGTCTGCTGGCAAACGCGAACAACGGTCCGGTGCAACCGGTTCCTGCCGGATGCAGCAGGCCCTCTTCCTCGCCGCCGTCCTCGTAGGTGAGGTAGAGTTCCATCGTGCCCTCATGCTGCTTGGCACTCCGTGCGCAGAGAAGCTTCATCGGTTCGTCGCGCCTCCAGACTCGGAAGTGGATTTCCGTATAGCCTGAGCGAAGGAACTCACGGGCGTCGAGGAGGGCTTGTCGAAGTAGGTTCACGTCGCTGTACTGGACGCGATCCTCTGGCAGCTCCACGTCGTCGCTGACGATGTATCGCCCTAAAGACTGCTCTGACAACATGGCGGGGTCCTGTTGGACACTGCGCAGGTCTCGGCGAGCCTTGTCGCTCTTGGGCAAGTTCTCTTGGGCAACAGCTTCGCGTGTCGACACACATAGCTCTTTGCACAACCAGGCCCCTGAGACTGCGATTGGTTGGGGATAAACCCTCTGGCCTTGGCCCGAGTCTCGTTTCCTTCGGGTTGAGACCGCGCACCTGGGACTACGCACTTCTTCAGTTTGAGCTTCCGCACCTCGGAACCCCATATTGGTTGAGGATAAGCGCTCCCGGCCTCGTCCCTACCTCCGCCGTCTTCTCAGCTTCAGACCAAGCACCTGACACCCCATCTTGGTTGAGGATAAGCGCTCCGGCCTCGTCCCCGCCTTCGCCTTCTTCGGCTTGAGACCACGCACCTGAGACCCCATCTTGGTTGATGATAAGCGCTCCGGCCTCGTCCCCCCCTCCGCCGTCTTCGGCTTGAGACCAACCAATTCCCGAGACCCCATCTTGGTTGAGGATAAGCGCTCCGGCCTCGTCCCCGCCTCCGCCGTCTTCTCAGCTTCAAACCATGCACCTGACACCCCATCTTGGTTGATGATAAGCGCTCCGGCCTCCGCCGTCTTCTCAGCTTCAGACCAAGCACCTGAAACCCCATCTTGGTTGAGGATAAGCGCTCCGGCCTCGTCCCCGCCTTCGCCTTCTTCGGCTTCTGGGCTGCTGATCTCGAATCCCACAGTGGTTGAGGATAAACGTTCCAGCCTCGTTCCGGCGGCCTTCTTCGGGCTGGGACCGCGGACCCCGAGCCCCATAGCGCTCTGGCCTTGCTCCCGGAGTACCTGCGACGCCGTATTGGTTGAGGATAGGCGAATCTCTCGGCATGCGAGCCTTCGGGACTCGTCCGTGTCTCCGCCTCCAACGTTGTTCCCGCTGAGACTGAGCACCTGTATGCCCGACTGCGACATGATGGAGGAGCGCGTCCTTGCCTGTGACTTCTTCGGCGAGCTTCCACACCTCGGAAACCCATATTGGTTGAGGATAAGCCCCTCGAAACCTATATTGGCTGAGGATAAGCTTTCCCGGCTTCGTCCTTGCCTCCGTCTTCTTCGGCTTGAGCTTCCACACCTCGGAAACCCATATTGGTTGAGGATAAGCCCTCCCGGCCTCGCCCTTGCCTCCGTTTTCTTTGGCTTGAGCTTCCACACCTCGGAAACCCATATTGGTTGAGGATAAGCCCTCCCGGCCTCGCCCTTGCCTCCGTTTTCTTTGGCTTGAGCTTCCACACCTCGGAAACCCTTATTGGATGAGGATAAGCCCTCCCGGCCTCGTCCTTGTCTACGTCTTCTTCAGCTTGAGCTTCCACACCTCGGAAACCCATATTGGTTGAGGATAAGCCCTCCCGGCCTCGCCCTTGCCTCCGCTCGGAAACCCATATTGGTTGAGGATAAGCCCTCCCGGCCTCGTCCTTGCCTCCGTCTTCTTCTGTTTGAGCTTCCACACCTCGGAAACCCATATTGGTTGAGGATAAGCCCCTCGGGCTCGCCCTCGCCTCCGTCTTCTTCGGCTTGAGCTTCCACACCTCGGAAACCCTTATTGGTTGAGGATAAGCCCTCCCGGCCTCGTCCTTGCCTCCGTCTTCTTCGGCTTGAGCTTCCACACCTCGGAAACCCATCCGTCTTCTTCGGGCTGAGATCACGCACCTCGGACCCCATCTTTGTTGAGGATAAGCGCTTTGGCCTCGTCCCCGCCTCCTCCTTCTCCGGGATGAGACTTCACACCTGGGACCCCATGTTGGTTGAGGACAAGTGCTGCGGTCTCCCCGCCTCCGTCTTCTTCGGGCTGAGATCACGCACCTCGGACCCCATATTTGTTGAGGATAAGCGCTCCGGCCTCGTCCCCGCCTTCGCCTTCTTCGGGTTGGGACCCCATATTGGTTGAGGATAAGCCCTCCGACCTCGTCCCCTCCGCTTTCTTCAGGTTGAGACCACGCACCTGGGACGTTGAGGAAAAGCGTGCTGGATCGGTTGAGGATAAGCGTTCCGGCCTCTTCCCCGCCTCCGCCTTCTCCGGATTCTTCAGGTTGAGACCACGCACCTGGGGGGGAGTGGCGGGGGTGGGGGGGGGGGGGTTGGGGGCCGGACGTTGAGGAAAAAGCGTTCTGATCTGTTGAGGATAATCTTTCCGGCCTCTTCCCCGCTGCTTCCGCCTTTCTCCGGATTGGGGAGTGGGGCGGGAGCTGGGCTGGGGGTGGTGGGGTGGCGGGTGGGGAGGGGAGGGGGTGGGTGGGTGGGGGGTGGGAGGGTGGGGGGGGGGGGGGGTGGGTGTGAGGGGTGGAAAGAGAAGGGGACCCCGTAGTTCCCGCCTCCACTTTCTTCGGTCTGTGAGATGTCACACTTGGAACCCCATATTGGTTGAGGGTAAGCGCTCCGGCCTCGTCCCCGCCTCCAGTTTCTTCGGGCTGTGAGACGTCACACCTGGAACCCCATATTGGTTGAGGGTAAGCGCTCCGGCCTCGTCCTCGCCTCCAGTTTCTTCGGGCTGCGAGACGTCACACACCTGGAACCCCATATTGGTTGAGGGTAACCGCTCTGGCCTCGTCCCCGCCTCTGCTTTCTTCGGGTTGGGACCCCATATTGGCTGAGGATAAGCGCTCCGGCTTCGTCCCCGCCTCCGCCGTCTTCTCAGCTTCAGACCACGCACCTGAAATCCCATCTTGGTTGAGGATAAGCCCTCCGGCCTCGTCACCACAGGAGACTGAGCGCCGGGATCACCGCGGACCATTAAATCTAGAGATGCTTTCTTCAGGCTGAGCTCCCACGCTTCGGAATCCCATACTGATTGAGGATAAGCCCTCCCGGCCTTGTCCTTGGCTCCGTCTTCGAAAGAATGAGAACCCTCACTTGGGGCCACGCAGCCGAGACCCCATGTGGTTCGAGGATGAGTCCTCCAGCCTCGTCCCGGACTGAGACCCTATATTGGTGGAGGATAAGCCCTCCATCTTGGTCCCTGGCTTGCGTTCCTCAGGTTAAGACCACACGCCTCGGACCCCACATTGGTTGAGGATAAGCGCTCCGGCCTCGTTCCCGCCTCCGCTTTCCCTGAAACCCCATATTGGTTGAGGACAAGCTCTCCGGCCTCGTCCGCGCCTCCGCCGTTTTCTCAGCTTAAAACCGTGCACCTGAAACTCCATCTTGGTTGAGGATAAACGCTCCGGCCTCGTCCCCGCCTCCGCCTTCTTCGGGCTGTGAGACCACGCACCTGCGAGCCCATATTGGTTGAGGATCCCCCGCCTCCCCCTTCTTCGGGCTGCCAGACCACGCACCTGGGACACCATAGTGGTTGAGGATAAGCGCTCCGGCCCGGTCCCTGCCTCCGCCTTCTTCGGGCTGTCTGAACACGCACCTAGGACCCCATATTGGTTGAGGATAAGCGCTTTGGCCTCGTCCCCGCCTCCTCCTTCTCCGGGATGAGACTTCACACCTAGGACCCCATGTTGGTTGAGGAGAAGTGCTGCGGTCTCCCCGCCTCCGTCTTCTTCTTCGGGCTGAGATCACGCACCTCGGACCCCAGATTTGTTGAGGATAATCGCTTTGGCCTCGTCCCCGCCTCCTCCTTCTCCGGGATGAGACTTCACACCTGGGACCCCATGTTGGTTGAGGAGAAGTGCTCCGGCCTCGTCCCAGCCTCCGCCGTCTTCTCGGCTTGAGACTACACACCTGACACCCCATCTTGGTTGAGGATAAGCGCTCCGGCCTCGTCCCCGCCTCGGCCGTTTTCTCAGCTTAAAACCATGCACCTGAAACCCCATCTTGGTTGAGGATAAGTGCTCCGGCCTCGTCCCAGCCTCCGCCGTCTTCTCGGCTTGAGACTACACACCTGACACCCCATCTTGGTTGAGGATAAGTGCTCCGGCCTCGTCCCCGCCTCCGCCGTCTCCTGCTTGAGAACCTGAAGCTCCATCTTGGTTGAGGATAAGTGCTCCGGCCTCGTCCTCGCCTCCGCCGTGTTCTGCTTGAGATCCCACGCCTCGGAACCCCTTATTGGTTGGGGTTACGCCCTCCCGGCCGTGTCCTTGCATCCATCTCGTTCAGCTTGAGCTCTCACGCCTTGCAACCTTATATTGGTTGAGGATAAGCCCTCCCGGCCTTGTCCTCGCCTCCGTCTTCTTCAGCCTGAGCTTCCAGATCTCGGAACCCCATATTGGTCGAGGATAAGCCCTCCCGGCCGTGTCCTTGCTTCTGTCTTCTTCAGGCAAGCCTCGCAATCCCATCGTGCTTGCAGATAATGTCACCGGACACTGACGTAAGACGATCTATGTATTCTCGCAACTCACCTTTCTTCCCGTGCTATTGCTGTGTCACGTGTGAAACAATGCTCTTCAGCTAGGTGTCGTACGGCGAATATGTTCTCTGATCATTATCAGAGCTTCAGCCGCGCGCTCGACCACAATCTTTGTTGCTTCACGCTTCCGTTTCAGGAGTTCCTCCTGCTTCTGCTTCCGGAGCTCTGTCTTCTCCTTCTGCCTCTTCTTCTTCTCGAAAGCCCGAAGGTTCATGATGCAGAGACGGATGGCCTTCTTGGTGTTTCTCGGAAGCCCTTGTAGATCTTGGACTGAAAGGCATTGGAGTCGCCGGCCAAAGTCGAAGTCGTCTGTGGCTCTCGAAGCCAGCATCGGGTATCTGGAGAGTGCACCAATCAGCGCTAAGTGCCTTAGCCTCAGTGCCCAATCCGAGCGTCTCGTGAAGTTTGAAATGGCCAGCTTCACGTTGTGGGGTAGACGTGTCCATCTCTTTGCCGCTGTCCAGCAAGTGCAGATTAAGGCACTGAAGAGTACCGCTGTATCCATCGCGTCGAGTTGTCGTGTACTACTGGTTTATACCGCACGCCTGAGCCCCAGTTGCAGCTGTGCCACAGGTTCGCTTGCCTCCCTTTCAAAGCCACCGGTCCATGATCCGACTAGTCTAGAACATGTGCGCATAGCTGACTGTGCGATCCCTTCATCACGACGACTTATGAAGTGTACGCCTGTCCAGGCCTTGTGATTGTGAATTTGAGGCCTCGCGTTTGGGAACATGCACCTGGGACCGCATATTCTTTGAGGATACGCCCTCCAGTCTCGTCCCGGCCTCGTTCTTCTTGAGGTTGAAGTCTCGTGCTTGGGAGCATGCACCTGGGACACCATATTGGTTGAGGACAAGCGCTCCGGCCTCGTCCCCGCCTCCGCCGTCTTCTCAGCTTAAAACCATGCACCCGACACCCCATCTTGGTTGAGGATAAGTGCTCCGGCCTCGTCCCCGCCTCCGCCGTCTTCTCAGCTTCAGACCATGCACCTGACACCCCATCTTGGTTGAGGATAAGCGCTCCGGCCTCGTCCCCGCCTCCGCCGTCTTCTCAGCTTCAGACCATGCACCTGACACCCCATCTTGGTTGAGGATAAGCGCTCCGGCCTCGTCCCGGCCTCCGCCGTCTTCGGCTTGAGACCACGCACCTGAGACCCCATCTTGGTTGAGGACAAGTGCTCCGGCCTCGTCCCCGCCTCCGCCGTCTTCTCAGCTTCAGACCATGCACCTGACACCCCATCTTGGTTGAGGATAAGCGCTCCGGCCTCGTCCCCGCCTCCGCCGTCTTCGGCTTGAGACCACGCACCTGAGACACCATCTTGGTTGAGGATAAGCGCTCCGGCCTCGTCCCCGCCTCCGCCCTCCGGCCTCGTCCCCGCCTCCGCCGTCTTCTCAGCTTCAGGCCACGCACCTGAGACCCCATCTTGGTTGAGGATAAGCGCCCCGGCCTCGTCCCCGCCTCCGCCCTCCGGCCTCGTCCCCGCCTCCGCCGTCTTCTCAGCTTCAGGCCACGCACCTGAGACCCCATATTGGTTGAGGATAAGTGCTCCGGCCTCGTCCCCGCCTCCGCCGTCTTCTCAGCTTCAGACCAAGCACTTGAAACCCCATCTTGGTTGAGGATAAGCGCTCCGGCCTCGTCCCTACCTCCGCCGTCTTCTCAGCTTCAGACCAAGCACCTGACACCCCATCTTGGTTGAGGATAAGCGCTCCGGCCTCGTCCCTACCTCCGCCGTCTTCTCGGCTTCAGACCAAGCACCTGACACCCCATCTTGGTTGAGGATAAGCGCTCCGGCCTCGTCCCTACCTCCGCCGTCTTCTCGGCTTCAGACCAAGCACCTGACACCCCATCTTGGTTGAGGATAAGCGCTCCGGCCTCGTCCCCGCCTTCGCCTTCTTCGGCTTGAGACCACGCACCTGAGACCCCATCTTGGTTGATGATAAGCGCTCCGGCCTCGTCCCCGCCTCCGCCGTCTTCGGCTTGAGACCACGCACCTGAGACCTCATCTTGGTTGATGATAAGCGCTCCGGCCTCGTCCCCGCCTCCGCCGTCTTCTCAGCTTCAAACCATGCACCTGACACCCCATCTTGGTTGATGATAAGCGCTCCGGCCTCCGCCGTCTTCTCAGCTTCAGACCAAGCACCTGAAACCCCATCTTGGTTGAGGATAAGCGCTCCGGCCTCGTCCCCGCCTTCGCCTTCTTCGGCTTGAGACCACGCACCTGAGACCTCATCTTGGTTGATGATAAGCGCTCCGGCCTCGTCCCCGCCTCCGCCGTCTTCTCAGCTTCAAACCACGCACCTGACACCCCATCTTGGTTGATGATAAGCGCTCCGGCCTCCGCCGTCTTCTCAGCTTCAGACCAAGCACCTGAAACCCCATCTTGGTTGAGGATAAGCGCTCCGGCCTCGTCCCTGCCTTCGCCTTCTTCGGCTTCTGGGCTGCTGATCTCGAATCCCACAGTGGTTGAGGATAAACGTGCCGCCTCCAACGTTGTTCCCGCTGAGACTGAGCACCTGTATGCCCGACTGCGACATGATGGAGGAGCGCGGCCGCATGTGATGCACCAGGCCCTCCTTGCACCTTTTTGCCTCGCCTAGGTGAGTGAAACTCGAGCCGTTCAGCGCATTGCGCAGTCTAAAACTACTCTGGTGACACTAAAACGTTCTCTCTCGCCGCGAGCCGCCGTCCACTCCACCAGATCGTTCTTGAAGAAGACGATTGTATGAGCACGTCCCAGCCGTCGTCGAGGAGCTGGAATGCCGTCTTGGCGTCTGCTGGCAAACGCGAACAACGGTCCGGTGCAACCGGTTCCTGCCGGATGCAGCAGGCCCTCTTCCTCGCCGCCGTCCTCGTAGGTGAGGTAGAGTTCCATCGTGCCCTCATGCTGCTTGGCACTCCGTGCGCAGAGAAGCTTCATCGGTTCGTCGCGCCCCCAGACTCGGAAGTGGATTTCCGTATAGCCTGAGCGAAGGAACTCACGGGCGTCGAGGAGGGCTTGTCGAAGTAGGTTCACGTCGCTGTACTGGACGCGATCCTCTGGCAGCTCCACGTCGTCGCTGACGATGTATCGCCCTGAAGACTGCTCTGACAACATGGCGGGGTCCTGTTGGACACTGCCCAGGTCTCGGCGAGCCTTGTCGCTCTTGGGCAAATTCTCTTGGGCAACAGCTTCGCGTGTCGACACACATAGCTCTTTGCACAACCAGGCCCCTGAGACTGCGATTGGTTGGGGATAAACCCTCTGGCCTTGGCCCGAGTCTCGTTTCCTTCGGGTTGAGACCGCGCACCTGGGACTACGCACTTCTTCAGTTTGAGCTTCCGCACCTCGGAACCCCATATTGGTTGAGGATAAGCCCTCCCGGCCTCGTCCTTACCTCTGTCTTCTTCAGCTTGTGCTTCCACACCTCGGAAGCCCCATATTGGTTGAGGATAAGCCCTTCCACACCTCGGAACCCCATATTGGTTGAGGATAAGCCCTCCCGGCCTCGTCCTTACCTCTGTCTTCTTCAGCTTGTGCTTCCACACCTCGGAAGCCCCATATTGGTTGAGGATAAGCCCCTCCACACCTCGGAACCCCATATTGGTTGAGGATAAGCCCTCCCGGCCTCGTCCTTGCCTCTGTCTTCCGCGCCTCGGAAACCCATATTGGTTGAGGATAAGCCCTCCCGGCCTCGTCCTTGCCTCTGTCTTCTTCATCTTGAGCTTCCACACCTCGGGAATTCCATATTGGTTGAGGATAAGCCCTCCCGGCCTCGTCCTTGCCTCTGTCTTCTTCCGCTTGAGCTTCCACCCTCCCGTGTCTTCTTCCGCTTGAGCTTCCACACTCCCGGCCTCGTTTTCCCTGAAACCCCATATTGGTTGAGGACAAGCTCTCCGGCCTCGTCCGCGCCTCCGCCGTTTTCTCAGCTTAAAACCGTGCACCTGAAACTCCATCTTGGTTGAGGATAAACGCTCCGGCCTCGTCCCCGCCTCCGCCTTCTTCGGGCTGTGAGACCACGCCCCTGCGAGCCCATATTGGTTGAGGATACCCCGCCTCCCCCTTCTTCGGGCTGCCAGACCACGCACCTGGGACACCATAGTGGTTGAGGATAAGCGCTCCGGCCCGGTCCCTGCCTCCGCCTTCTTCGGGCTGTCTGACCACGCACCTAGGACCCCATATTGGTTGAGGATAAGCGCTTTGGCCTCGTCCCCGCCTCCTCCTTCTCCGGGATGAGACTTCACACCTGGGACCCCATGTTGGTTGAGGAGAAGTGCTGCGGTCTCCCCGCCGCCGTCTTCTTCGGGCTGAGATCACGCACCTCGGACCCTTTTTTTGTTGAGGATAAGCGCTCCGGCCTCGTCCCCGCCTTCGCCTTCTTCGGGTTGGGACCCCATATTGGTTGAGGATAAGCCCTCCGGCCTCGTCCCCTCCGCTTTCTTCAGGTTGAGACCACGCACCTGGGACGTTGAGGAAAAGCGTGCTGGATCGGTTGAGGATAAGCGTTCCGGCCTCTTCCCCGCCTTCGCCTTCTCCGGATTGGGACCCCGTAGTTCCCGCCTCCACTTGCTTCGGGCTGTGAGATGTCACACTTGGAACCCCATATTGGTTGAGGGTAAGCGCTCCGGCCTCGTCCCCGCCTCCAGTTTCTTCGGGCTGCGAGACGTCACACCTGGAACCCCATATTGGTTGAGGGTAAGCGCTCCGGCCTCGTCCTCGCCTCCAATTTCTTCGGGCTGCGAGACGTCACATCACACCTGGAACCCCATATTGGTTGAGGGTAACCGCTCTGGCCTCGTCCCCGCCTCTGCTTTCTTCGGGTTGGGACCCCATCTTGGTTGAGGATAAGCGCTCCGGCCTTGTCCCCGCCTTCGCTTTCCCTGAAACCCCATATTGGTTGAGGACAAGCGCTCCGGCCTCGTCCCCGCCTCTGCCGTCTTCTCAGCTTAAAACCATGCACCTGAAACCCCATCTTGGTTGAGGATACGTCCCCGCCTCCGGCCTGAGATCCCAGACTTCGGAAACCCATATTGGTTGAGGATATCTCTGGCCTGATCCCCGCCTCCGTGTTCTTCTCAGGTTGAGACCATGCACCTGAAGCCCCATATTGGTTGAGTATACGTGGGTTGAAGATAAGCGCTCCGGCCTCGTCCCCGCCTCCGTCTTCATCTCGGGTTGAGCCCACGTGCCTGGAACCCCATATTGGTTGAGGATAAACGCCCTGGCCTCGACCCCGCCCCTGCCTTCCTCGGGTTGAGACCATGCTATATCTCCCCGTATGTGTCTACTGAATGCTGAATAACAGCTGCGTCGGATAGGAGTCGCTCGTAGTCATCGTGCATACCCCAAGAGTGCATGCGCGTGATGCAAGTGCTTCCCGTGCACCTTTTGGACTCTCAAGGGAAGAGGTTCTTATCGCCGGACCTGGCGCTCAGACGGCTGCCGTGGCCTCCTGGGCTGTGCTGTGGCAGGGACGTGCCCGCATGTTCTTCTTCGTTCTGCTGGTCCGGCCTGGAAGACATCCTCTTCCCAGAAACAAATGCTGTCCGAAAGATACCACCAGGGTATCCACGCGCCGTGCGGCACCCTTTGCCAAATGTATCCTGGTTGCACGTCAGTGTGCAGGTTCTGTTCTCTCGCTCTTGCTTGCTGGCCTGCCCACCCATTCTTCCTGAGAAGATTTCTTTTCTCTTCGACGGTGGCACAGGCCTAGCGCAACTAGCGTCAACCACCGTCGGCAGATGCTGGCTTGGTGTGCGTTGCTCGGCCCCTGACGCCCAGTTGGCTCTTGATGCTGTCCAACGGGCTCCGAGCTTCGCGCTCCGGTTTCCCGGCTCTGTCACGGCGGCGGGGCCTGCAGCGCCATCGTGTTCAGCAGAGACATCACGAGCGCTTCTTAAGGCCCCGACGGACACAACCCGAGTCGGCGTGCACAGGGAGGGCCTCGATAAAGGTAAACGGCATATCAGGACTCCTCCCTCGTAGAGCGTCCGAGGCTCGGGCACAACATCGCGTTGTGTGTCTCTTCTCCCTCGTATCCGGGGTCGATGCCCAAGTATCGGGCATATTCCTTGCACTCCTGGCGTAAAAACAAAGCCGAGTAAATGAGAAGTAGTTTCCCGCGACACATCCTCAGGTGCGGGCGCAGCACCGCAGTATACCTTCCGATCTCTCGAAACAGATTGTCCCTGTCGCCATAGCTTCTCCGAGGGGGACCGCTGGCTAGGAATTGCTCAATGAACAAGAGCTGCGTTCATAAGCTGCTGGGAGCAGGTACTCCTGCATGCGTCTGGCTGCGCTACATGCTCAGTGATGGTCTCTTTCTCTGATATCCTTTTGCAATTGTCCCGCTTGCGAGCGCGGACACTCCATGGCTCGCCTTCGGCGACTCCGTCTCCTTCAGTGTTCGCCTGAATGGGACTCCGTATTGAGGATAAGCCCTCCCGGCCGCGTCCTTGCCTCTGTCTTGTTTAGCTTGAGCTTCCACACCGTCTTCTTCGGCTTGAGCTTCCACACCTCGGAAGCCCATATTGGTTGAGGATAAGCCCTCCCGGCCTCGTCCTTGCCTCCGTCTTCTTCCGCTTGAGCTTCCACGCCTCGGAAACCCATATTGGTTGAGGATAAGCCCTCCCGGCCTCGTCCTTGCCCCCGTCTTCTTCCGCTTGAGCTTCCACGCCTCGGAAACCCATATTGGTTGAGGATAAGCCCTCCCGGCCTGCTCCTTGCCCCCGTCTTCTTCCGCTTGAGCGTCCACGCCTCGGAAACCCATATTGGCTGAGGATAAGCCCTCCCGGCCTCCTCCTTGCCTCTGTCTTCCTCCGCTTAAGCTTCCACGCCTCGGAAACCCATATTGGTTGAGGATAAGCCCTCCCGGCCTCCTCCTTGCCTCTGTCTTCTTCCGCTTGAGCGTCCACGCCTCGGAAACCCATATTGGTTGAGGATAAGCCCTCCCGGTCGTGTCCTTGCCTCTGTCTTCTCCTGGCTGAGGATACACTCTCCCGGCCTTGTCCTTGCCTCTGTCTTCTTCAGCTTGAGCCTTCATGCCTCGGAAACCCATATTGGTTGAGGATACACTCTCCCGGCCTTGTCGTTGCCCTTCTGCAGCTTGAGGGAAACCCATATTGGTTGGGGATAAACCCTCCCGGCCTTGTTCTTGCCCTTCTTCAGCTTGAGCTTCCACGCCTCGGAAACCCATATTGGTTGAGGATCTTCCACGCCTCGGAGTCCCATATTGGTTGAGGATAAGTCCTCCCGGCCTTGTCCTTGCCTCTGTCTTCTTCAGCTTGAGCTTCTACGCCTCGGAAACCCATATTGGTTGAGGAGAAGCTCTCCCGGCCTTGTCCTTGCCTCCGTCTCCTTCAGCTTGAGTTTCCACGCCTCGGAAACCCATATTGGTTGAGGATATTCTTCTTTTCTTCAGCTTGAGCCTTCTACGCCTCGGAAACCCATATTGGTTGAGGATACACTCTCCCGGCCTTGTCGTTGCCCTTCTGCCGCTTGAGGGAAACCCATATTGGTTGGGGATAAACCCTCCCGGCCTTGTTCTTGCCCTTCTTCAGCTTGAGCTTCCACGCCTCGGAAACCCATATTGGTTGAGGATACGTCCTCCCGGCCTTGTCCTTGCCTCTGTCTTCTTCAGCTTGAGCTTCTACGCCTCGGAAACCCATATTGGTTGAGGAGAAGCTCTCCCGGCCTTGTCCTTGCCTCCGTCTCCTTCAGCTTGAGCTTCCACGCCTCGGAAACCCATATTGGTTGAGGATATTCTTCTTCAGCTTGAGCTTCCACGCCTCGGAAACCCATTGCTTTGAGGATAAGCCCTCCCGGCCTTGCCTCTGTCTTCTTCGACTTGTGAGCTTCCACACCTCGGAAACCCATACTGGTTGAGGATAAACCCTCCCGGCCTTGTCGTTGCGCTTCTGCAGCTTGAGATGCCACGTCTTGGAAACCCATATTGGTTGATGATAAACCCTCCCGGCCTTGTCCTTGCCCTTCTTCAGCTTGAGCTTCCACGCCTCGGAAACCCATATTGGTTGAGGATGGCTCACCCCCGGCCTTGTCCCTGCCTCTGTCTTCTTCAGCTTGAACTTCCACCCCTCGGAACCCCATATTGGTTGAGGATGAGCCCTCCCGGCCTTGTCCCTGCCCCTGTCTTCTTCAGCTTGAGCTTTCACGCCTCGGAAACCCATACTGGTTGAGGATGAGCCCCCCCCCCCCGGCCGTGTCCCTACCTGTGTCTTCTTCAGCTTGAACTTCCGCACCTCGGAACCCCGTGTTGGTTGAGGATGGGCCCTCCCAGCCTTGTCCTTGCATAGGTACTCCGGCCTCTCCTCGCCTCCGTCCTGTTCGAGTTGAGACCACGCACCTCGGACCCGATATTGATTGAGGACAAGTGCTCCGGCCTGGTTCCCGCCTCCATCCTCTTCAAGTTGAGACCGCGCACCTGGGACCCCATATTGCTTGAGGATAGGCACTCCGGCCTGGTCTCGGCTTCTGTTCTCTCCAGACCACGAACCTGGGAACCCATGACAGTTGAGGATAGGCGATCCGGCCTTGTCGCCGCCTCCGTCTTCTTCAGTTTGAGACCACGCGCCGAGAACGTATTCTGAGAGTAAGTCCTTCGAGCCTGTTGTCGCCTCCTCTTGAAGCTCGCCTTCTTCTGGCTTCAAGCACCTGGCACTGATGCACGCTGCGGTAGGGCGCGCACATAGGAGCCCATATCGGTTGAGGATAAGTGCTCCGCCCTCGTCCCCACCTTCACCTTCTTCGGGCCGAGATCGCGTACCTGGGACTCCACGTTGGTCGAGGATAAGCGCTCCGGCCTCGTCCCCGCCCCCGCTTTCGCACCTGGGACCCCATATTGGTTGAGGATAAGCGCTCCGGCCTCGTCCCTGCCGAGCACGCACCTGGGACCCCAGCTCCGGCCTCGTCCCCGCCTCCGCCTTCTTCGGGCTGAGACCACGCGCCTGGAACCCCATATTGCGCCGGCCTGGTCCGCGATAGCACGCACCTGGGACCCCATATTGGTTGAGGATAAGCGCTCCCGCCTCCGAGCACGCGCCTGGAACATATTGGTTGAGGATAAGCGCTCCGGCCTCGTCGCCTTCTTCGGGCTGAGACCACGCACCTGGGACCCCGTATTGGTTGAGGATGAGTGCTCCGGCCTCGTCCCTGCCTCCGCCTTCTTCGACTGAGACCACGCACCTGGAACCCCACATTGGTTGAGGATAATCAGCGCTCATCCTCACTTCGGTCTCTTGGGGTTGGGACCACGTACCTGGGACACCATGCAGGCGAGCCTGCACGGCTTCGTTCCCGCTCCCGGCCTTCTTCTTCTTGAGGATACGCACCTGGCACTCCACGCTGGTTGCGGTCTAAGTGAGCGGGTTGGGAGGGGAGGAGGGTGGGGTTGCAGTGCGGGGTTCGGGGGAGGGAAGGGGAGGGAGGGAAGGGGGGGAGGGGGCGGGGGGACCCTCCGGAGGGGGCACCGGGTGGGGGGGAGGGGGGGGGGGAGGGTGGGGAGGGGTGCGGGCACCCACACCCCATTTTAGTTGAGGATTGTTTTTTGGTGTCTGCCCACTACCCTCCCGCCCCAGGAGGAGGGGGGAGGGCGCTCAGGGGGAGGGGGGGCGGGGGGAAGACCCCACACCCCATTTTAGTTGAGGATTGTTCTCTCGGCCTTGTCGCTGAGACCACACACCTCGGCAACCACATTGGTTGAGGCTCAAGCTTCCATACCTCGGATTGTCCTTGCCTCTGTCTTCTTCGGCTTGAGCTTCCACACCTCGGAACCCCATACCGGTTGAGGATAAGCCTTCCCGCCTTGTCTCTGCCTCTGTCTTCTTCGGCTGGAGCTTCCATACCCCGGAAACCCACATCGGTTGAGTATAACCCCTCCCGGCCTTATCCTTGCCTCTGTCTTCTTCGACTTGTGAGCTTCCACGCCTCGGAAACCCGTACTAGTTGAGGATAAACCCTCCCGGCCTTGTCGTTGCGCTTCTGCAGCTTGAGACCCCACGTCTTGGAAACCCATCTTGGTTGATGATACACCCTCCCGGCCTTGTCCTTGCCCTTCTTCAGCTTGAGCTTCCACGCCTCGGAAACCCATACTGGTTGAGGATGAGCCCCCCCCCGGCCTTGTCCCTACCTGTGTCTTCTTCCGCTTGAACTTCCACACCTCGGAACCCCATGTTGGTTGAGGATGGGCCCTCCCGGCCTTGTCCTTGCCTCGGAAACTTATATTGGTTGAGGATAAGCCCTCCCGGCCTCGTTCTTACCTCTGTCTTCTTCAGCTTGAGCTTCCTGGGGCCACGCACTTCGAACCCCGGCCTTGTCCTTGCCTCCGTCGTCTTTTTGCTGGGGTCACGCACCTCGGCCCTCATATTGGTTGAGGCCTCGTCCTTTCTCTTTTCTCCAAGATG